AAGACGGCTGTCTGCAGGCCTTTAAAACAATTTTTAATTACCAGGCTCTAGTCCCTTCTCCCCAACCATTCTCCCTCTAAGAAAAACCAAAGTCCTTAGCTGTTATCTCTGATATTTGTCACGAATATTTGGGTTTTTTAAAAGTTAATTACTTTGAAAATTGCTAAGACTAGATTTTGTGTTCTCACCGTAAATAAGTAGGTGAGATTTTTTAATTAATTACTGCTTCCTAAGCCTGTTCCGCACATTTAAGCTATTGATATTTGTACATGGGTGGCACAAGAAGAATATTCACAAAAATTCTGAATTTTAAACTTTTCATTTTATCATTTAATCATTTGATATAAGATAGAAAACAATCGGGCTGCCAGCTCATCTTGAGACCTTGCTTACATTATCTATCTAGTAAAGAGGATACAATCGACTCAATGTTTCCGTCATGTCCACATCAGGCAGCCCCTGCAAGCACTGCTCATCTCTGGCGCAGCAAGTTCATCTCTCAACTGCCACAGAGCTGGACAGAAATCAGGTCCACAAGAGAAGGAAGAGTCAACCAGGTGGAAAGCAGCCAACAGAGATTAGAAACAGAGGTATCTGGCAAGACTTTCAGATATTACAAGGAGCCAAAAAAGAATGATGAGATCTTGTACACTTTCCTCCCTCACAGTGTAAAATGCAAGAATCTCTGAAAGTGCTGAGCAGTTGCCAAGCAGTTCCAGCATAAACTGCTGTGTGACCAGAATAAATCCTTTAACCTCTCTACTTCAGTCTCATCATCTACATGACAATCATACCAATAATTTAAAAGTTGTAGAATGTCTAATCAAATGTATTCCTCTTTGCCAGGCTTCAGATAAGCCAAAGTTTACCAAAAAGAAACACCTTTATCTTTTTTTTTCTTTTTTTTTTTTTTTTTAGATAAAGTTCCCAAAATAAACATTTAAAAATCATTTTTGAGCCCAAATGTGGAAGACCATTCACACAAAACACTTCTGCACACTTGCAGCCAGGCTGCTGCTCTCACCTCAGTCCCAAGTGCTCTCATTGTGGCCCCTGTCTCCACAGAAGGCCATTCATTGGAAGCACTCTCCACAGAGCCGCAGGACTTCAGTCACAAGGCCTGAGGGAGGCTGCTGGGGACCAGGGGAGGAAGGCCTGGGACCTCCTGCAGCAGACTCCCTCACCCACCTCCAGCAGATGAGCCATCAGCTGAGGAAGCCCAGTGGCTGGGGAATCCCACCATCCCTCCTTCCTTGCCTATCATGCTTCCAGCTGGCACAGGCTCTCGAGGCACCCTTTCCAAAAGCAAGACTATTCCTTGGAAACAGTGACAGATTTCATATTGGTTGAATAAATAAATATGTTAATAGAATAACTATACAATATATCTATTTACAAAACTGCACTTGTGCCCCTTACATTTATACAAACTTTTTAAAGTTTAATTTATAAAGTGGGCATGGTAAGAGATTAACAACAATAGCTAATAATAAAAAAGAAGAATTATAACAATAGACTAAAAAAAGTTGTGTGAATGAGGAAACAAAGGAAGAATTCTGCAGAGTGGGAAAGGGTTACAAAAAGTAAGAAAAGAGAAAGTCAATCTGAGAAGAATTTTACCTCAGCTGTCACTAAGGAGCAGGAAAAACTAGAAAGAAATCACTTATTTATCTGCAAAGTCAGAGGTAAACATTGCCATGTGTATTCAATAACTGGTGATTCAATCATAAAATATAATGATATGATTTGTACACAGTTGGAAAAAAAAAACCACCATTCTGGTTGTCAGCCCGAAGTTCCCTTTGTTTGTCTGTAAAATGCTTCAAAATCTATACATAGAAATAAGTTTTAGAAGTTGTATTTTTCAAATAAGGAAAAGTCAGGTAATGCCCATTGGCTTCTCTCTATAATTATTTTAATTGTGTTTCCTATACACAGAACTTTTTCCTTCTATTGCCTTTAAAGGTACACATTATTTCTTTTGCATCTCAATTTAAGGTTTATATTTCTTAAACTGTCTAACAAACAGTTTTCCACTAATATTCATTAATCTCAATATATTTTGCTTTTAGGAAATCATAAAGAAATTAGGTTATTTTCAAAAAACAAACAAAACAAAAGCCAGACGTGGTGGCTCACGCCTGTAAGCCAGCACTTTAGGAGGCCAAGGCAGGCAGATTATGAGGTCAGGAGTTCGAGACCAGCCTGACCCAACATGGTGAAACCCCGTCTCTACTAAAAATACAAAAATTAGTCGGGCATATTGGGGCGCCCCTCTAATCCCAGCTACTCAGGATGCTGAAGCAGGAGAATCCCTTGCACCTGGGAGACGGAGGTTGCAGTAAGCTGAGATCGCACCACTGCACTCCAGCCTGGGTGACAGAGCAAGACTCTGTCTCAAAAAAACAAAAAACAAAAAACAAAAAATCAGGTTATTTGGAAGTAAATCCTCCATTTTCATTGATATGGATGTGAGTGATGACTTTTATTATTTACTAGGTAACAATTCCCTTTCCTTCTGAGAAATCTATGCAATAATGTCTTCTGGGAGCTTCTGGGTCCCAGGCCCCTAACTACTGTGAAATATTGAAATTACAGTGGAAATTCCATGTGGGAGCCAGAATATAGCAAGAATTTGGAATGGGACCCCTAAGACAGATCCTGTTTATGAACTACAATCATTTTGCCCCAGACTCAACAAAATGAAGGGGTGGAAATGTTATCTATGGGGCACCTGCTTCAGAGAGTATCTACACAGTTGTCCCTCAAAGCTCTTTTCCAACGCTCATTTTACAATCTGTAATGTGTCTCTCTGGCATAAAAAAAACTTACTAAATATACTCTTGTAGTTTCCCATGATAACTAGCTTTTGATTTAAAACCCTGCTGTAGTTTTCTCAATCAACATGTACTAAACAATAGTCTTAAGGTAAACATATTTAGAAAATCAAAATCTAGATTTAAAAAAATAATAATTTGTAATTTAATTCTGAATAATTCTAAGCATGACAACAGTTGTCTTTTTCAAGTTGCCTTTACACTGTTTTATTTCTATTTTGCTTGTAATAATGTCACCATTTTAAGAACCAAATTAAATATAACCATAGGAGAGCCTCTTCCTGTTTCTGTTTTGAAGTTTTTCTTCAATACTGTTTCAGGAAGTATTTAGTGAAGCTGTATGGTATAGTAGTTAACACAGGCTTTGGAGTCAGACAGACTCAAACTCCAGTTCCATCATTAATATAATTTGGGTATCCTTTCTAAAGTCCATTTTATTTCTCCATTTAACAGGGAGAGTAATACCTACCTAAGGGTAACTGCAATCAAAATGAGATAATGAGTCTGAAGCACACAGTACAGAGCCAGGCATATACTAATTACTCAATACACAGCAGCTAATATTTTAGACATAGACACACACTGAAAATCTGGAACATGAAGAAGAAATTCCTTAATTTTACCACCTTAGGAAAACAAACACGATTTTTTTGTAATTACATCCACATAAAAACTTATTTTTACATTATTATAATTGTAATACACAATTTTATATCTTTTTTAACATTATAATCACTTTTCCATGTTACCATGTAGGTTCATAATTACCTTTTAAATTTGTTGCCTGAGATTTCATTAAGTTCCATAATTTATCCACTAAATTTCTGTCAAATATTTGAGGTGTTTACAAATCATGCTATAATAACATTTTCATGAATATAGCTTTTCCACCCTGTGGAATTCTTTCCTTAGGATGAATTCTCAAAGCAGGCTTCTTTAGGGTAGCCATGATCTATTTCACGACTTTAATAGTTTTGTCAAACTGCTCTCCACCAGTTTATACAATTTGTAGTTCCTCCACCAATGTGCACACATGTCATATTGTCCACTCTAACCTTCACTATTAATACTAATATGTTGCATGTACTGAGTATTTCCATATGCCAAGCACTGATCTAAGTGCTTTACATGTATCACATCATCATCCTCACAACAAATCTCCAATGTAACCACTATTAGTCATCCTCTTCCGCAGATGAGGAAGCTAAGGCTCAGAAAGTTTATAAGCCATGTCCAAGGTCACACAGCAACTAAATGGTAGTATCTAAACTAAACTCAGACCCTGTCTAATGCCACAGTGCTCTTAATCACCTGGCTATGTTGCTGCTTTACTCTTCTGCCACCACCCCCCACTCATATAACAGGTTAAAAAGATCTTAATTGATGTTTTTATATACAATTTGTTGATTACTAGCAAAGTTGATCATTTTTACATATGTTTATTTTAAAACTGTATTTTCATCTTATGTTATTTGTTCATAAGCAACTTCTGTAAAGTGATGGGGAAAATTATGTTCCTCATGTACTTTTTACCAATTGGGTGCATCGACACAATCCTCTCACAAGAGGCCCAGGTCCCTTCTTGATGACCCCACTGAGCTGTCAGTTTATAGGAGAACATGCTCCTTCTCTTCTTCCTGCCCAGAATGAGTTGAATACCAATATTTTCCAGAAAGTTATGTCCATATCTCCTCAACATCACTCACTCGTGATACGTCTCCTGGTTGGTTTGGAACTCCCTATCATGAATGGGCAGGAAGGCCAAATGACCCCAAGAGGGTGACTGACTAAAATAATTTTTTATTAGGTTGGTGCAAAAGTAATTGGGGTTTTTGCCATTAATGGCAAAAACACTTTTGCACCAACCTAATAACTGAACAAATTTACCAAGGCCTTTGAGACTCAAGCCCACTCTCCCATCCCCTGCCACCCCTCTCTCCTTTTCTCCACCTCTTCAAATTTCCCTTCTGTAAGATAAAGACTGAAATATATAGGGTTTTTCTGTTTGTTTGTGAATATATGATCCAAACAACTTGGCCATCATTCAAAATGTACTTCTCATCACATACAGAAACATCATTAAAACCCCATCTATGTTTTACTAAGCAAAACTGGATTTACCTAAGAAATCTGAATTGTAATAATCCTCGTAATTTAAATTACCTGCATTATGTCTTGCAATATATCTAAGTGCCCAGGCTGCAGCCTCCTTGACTCCAGGGTCAAAATCTTCCAAGCATATGACCAGTGTATCCAGTGCTCCACAATCAACTATTGCCTGAGCTAGCTGGGGAGAATGTTTACCAACCGCTCGTAACACAAAGGCAGCTGCTTTCTTGTAGAAGCGCTACAAGGGTCAAATAGACAAAACTCAAAATGAATTGAGTACTTAGAAAACCAAAATCTAAAATAGACCAAAACTAACATAAAAATAACATTAATGTAAATAAAGCTCAACAGCTTTTGAATATAAAAGATGAAAAACATCCTGCAAAATAATTTTGATTATTTGATGTGCCCTCATTGCTTCTGTTCAGTAACTAAACTGAAAACAAGGTATGTTTAACATTGTATTTCAAATGTTTTATCCTGAAGCATGCATTTGGAAAATGTATAAAATTATAAACATACTTTCCACAAATTCATAAAATAATGAGATTTTATGTATCTGCATTACACCAAAATGTATTGTTTGACCCTTGGGAACTCTTAGATTGTTAGCATGTGCAACTAAGCTCACTGTCAACTGACCAATTCATTTCCTTTACTTGCCCTCAGTCTTTAAGCATGGTAGGCCTTTCATGACCTCAACTAATCTTTCTGGTGTCCCCAATTATTCTGAAGTAACAACCATGTCCCAAAATGTGCTTACAATCATCAAATAAACATAAAGGCAAAACATTCATGACATATTTTAAAACTTTTCCTGGCAAATAAATCAGCCAAACAATGGGATATAAGTTATTTTCTCTAGAAATGCTTTTTTTTTTTAAGATAAAAGCAAATTACTTACCATTTTGTAAATTTTAAATACTGCTTCATATTTATATTTCCTATAGATACATTGTGTCTAAGGAATGAGTAAATGAAACTAAAACACAAGACTAACACGTTTCTCTTCACATCGCTAAAAAAATTAAAAAAATTAAATATATAGGAAATATGTGACTGTGACACTCACTATGGTTTTATGCTTAGCATAATGACACAGTGATGGTCTCCTCTTTCTGTTATTAATAAAACCCACTTAATCCCCTATTTTACATTCCAAGTTTCTATTTCTTCACAGTGACTACTAAAAAGTGACTAGTTGACTACAGCACCCCGGTGGCTCAAGCCTGTAATCCCAGCACTTTGGGAGGCCGAGACGGGCGGATCACGAGGTCAGAAGATCGATACCATCCTGGCTAACACGGTGAAACCCCGTCTCTACTAAAACTACAAAAAAACTAGCCGGGCGAGGTGGCGGGCGCCTGTAGTCCCAGCTACTCGGGAGGCTGAGGCAGGAGAATGGCATGAACCCGGGAGGCGGAGCTTGCAGTGAGCTGAGATCCGGCCACTGCACTCCAGCCTGGGCAACAGAGCGAGACTCTGTCTCAAAAAAAAAAAAAAAATTAAATATATAGGAAATATGTGACTGTGACACTCACTATGGTTTTATGCTTAGCATAATGACACAGTGATGGTCTCCTCTTTCTGTTATTAATAAAACCCACTTAATCCCCTATTTTACATTCCAAGTTTCTATTTCTTCACAGTGACTACTAAAAAGTGACTAGTTGACTACAGCACCTGTTTTGAAAGCATTCTATTCACTTAGACTATAATATTGATACAATGAAAATTACAGGAGAAAAAAATACATCGAGTATATCTTAAACATAGTATACCTTAAAAATCAGTATATGTTGCTAATATAAGAAACATGCTATGTTAGTACTGATGTTTTTGATTTGACATATTTTCTTTAGTTTCTTAAATTATATAAGTAACCAAATTTCTACTAATTTACTCTAAATATTACTGTAGAGCTTTGAAGTAGGTTTCCATAGATTATTTTCTTACAAATATGGGGGGGAAAATGGTGATACATTTATTTTCATTACTTTAGCTAATTTGACTTTTTATAGTGCAGAATTATCAAATTTACAGACCATTTATGGGTATCAATAGTCACTATTAATTACAGTGCCTATAACTCACACTTTCTGATCTCATTCCCTCTTTCTCCTAATTTTTACTTCCCCCAAATTCCTAACACTCTTCTCTTCCATTTCTCATCAAAAGTAAGGCCAAAAAAAAAAAAAAAAAAAAAAAACCAGCAAAACCACAGGACTTTGTACCTCATAAAGAAGAGATTAAGTCTCCTGTGAGAAATGACTTAAAGGCTGGAAGGTGAGGGAGACAGAAGCTGGTGCAAAGACTTCGTGTTTTCACTGCCTCCTCACTTTTCTGCTCTAGTGTTTTGTCTCTCTACAACTAATTAACACTCATTCAACTTAGAAAACTTCTACTGAAAATCTTCTACGTGGGATACCAGAATACAGACTCTGCTCTCAAAAGAAAGAGCTAAGAGTCCAAGAGGAAGAAAGTCCAACAGTATTTGATGATAGAAGGAATACCCACAAGAAAAATAAAATTTCTGTGACTCCTTGTAGAGCTATAACAGGCATTAGTTAACTGACTCTCTGATCTATAAACATAAAGCAAATTTCTGCACCATTAGGATTTATTTTTATTCTGGCAAAATACACATAACATAAAATTAACCATTTTAACCATTTTAAAGTATACAATTTAGTGGCATTTAGTGCATTCACAATGTTGTGCAACCATCACCACTGTCTAGTTCTAGACTATTATTATCACCCCAACAAGAAACTTCTTACAAATAAAGCAGTCACTTCCCATTCCCTTTTCCTTCCAGCCCCTGGCAACCACTAATCTGCTTCTGTCTCTATGGATTTGCATATTCTGGATAGTTCATATAAATGGAACCATGCAATCTGTGGCCTTTTGTGTCTGGCTTCTTGCACTTAGCATAATGTTTTTATGGGTCATCCGTGGTGTAGCATTTATCAGTACTTTATTCCTTTTGTGACTAATAATCCATCATATGGATACACAATATTTCGTTTACCCATTCATCTGTTGATCGATTTAGGTTGCTTTCACCTTTTGGCTATTGTGGATGCTGCTGCTATGAACATTTGTGTGCAGGCTTTACTGAAGCATCTGTTTTCAATTCTTTGGGATATATAACTAGGAATAGAATTGCTGAGCCATGTGGTAACAAATGTTTCACTGACTGCGGACCTGCCAAAGTGTTTTCACAGTGATTGCCCCCATTTTACATTCCTACCAGCAATGTATGAAAGTTCCAATTTCTCTATGTCTTCACCAACACTTGTTATTTTCTTTTTATTTTTTATTACAGCCACCCTAGAAGGTATGAAGTGATACCTCATTGTGGTTCTGATTTACATTTCTTAATGACTAATGCTGTGGAGCATTAGTTTGTACATATTCTTCGGAGAAATGTCTATTTAATTCCTTTGCCCATTTTTCAATTGGCTTGTCTTTTTGTTACACAAATACGAATTTAATCCCAAAGATATGTCAAGAAAGCTCTATCCCTAGGTTATGATAAACTAACAGAATAGAATGAACAGTCCAAAACCTACCTACAGGTGGTCCTTAACTACTGTGGAAACCAAATAGCTGGCACTGTATAGAAATAGAAAGTGGTACCAGATAGGAGGGGGAAAAATGGGGCACTTTTAGGTAGTGCTTAACAGAGTTGACATGCCTATAACTTGGTAATAAAAGATTTCTCAAACCTTCCATTACACATACTTATTCTCTTCCTGTTTTTGGTTGCTTCTCTAGCCCTTGCCTCAAGGCTGTCTCTCACTGTTTCCCTTAACTTGGTTTCACCAGCATATAAGGATTGCTGAGATCAACTATTTGCCTAGGGTCTACATACTTCCCTAAGACAGATCCGATAGCATTGTTTAAAACTACCATATATAGAAATACTGCTTTATGTATAATTCCCCCCTAAAAAATCTGTTTTCTCTTTATATTATCAATAATGGATAAATGGTGGTTATTGGCACCAAAGCAAAATACCCTAAAAATACGATTACATGCAGCTCAGAGAATTGGAGATTTTGTTAACCCCCTAATAATTCTGATGCCTACAGGCTTGCAACTGTATCCAAACTGTCACATTTTTAAAGATCTAAAACAAAAAACATATAACTAGTTTTTAAAAATTCTTACATTCTGTTCTGCCAATGAATAAACAAGCTGTGGAAGAATGTCACACTTCACAACAGCTTCTGCTAGGTCATCATTATAATTGGCCAGTCTCCCAAGAGCCAAAGCAGCAGTCTGTTGAATTGTTGGGACCACATCCAGAAGAAGAGTTCTCAGCAAAGACATTACACCTGAGTTAAATTATGAAAGAATAGAAATCAGAAAAATTAAAAATTAAAAAGCAAAAATACAATACGGCATATATGCAGACAGTAAAAATAAAGGGAAAAAATCAGTAAAAACAAAACTATCCACTAAAAACTAATAGAAATTTAGAAGTACCTAACTGGCCAAGACACAGAATAATACAAGCTATAATTATTAAACATGTAGTACAGCATGGAAATAAGAAAGGCTTTGGATTTAGGTAACAATCCCTGATTCAGCAAGTCCTGTCTATATTACCTGATAGGGTTATCATGAGGCATGCAGAGAAAGGTTGTAGACTATGCTATGATGCCTAGCACAAAAAAAGATAGGGCTCCCCCCAGACTTTGCAAATCTTATCTTTCAAGGCTCATTTCAAGGCCTCACCTGCATATTACCTCCAAATAAATGTCTTGGAGATGAGGAAGCGTATTACTAGTGCTCATCATATTCATCCGAGGGTTGAATGCATAGTAGGTATATCATCATCATCACCACAACAGCAACAAAGTAAAAGTAGCTTATATTTATCAAGGACTTATTATATATAAGCACTGTTCTAAGGACTTTTTCTGTAATAATTCATTTAACTTTTATAACAAAACTGTGAAGCAGGCCCTACTATTTTGTCTATTTTACAGATGAGAAAATTGAAGCTGAGAAAGGTTGTCACACAACTAATGAATGGTGAAACAAGGTTATATACTTCACACATTTTTCATTGATAATTGTTAAATAACACATATTGAAAACTGAGGAGGTGGGAAGAGAGATACCAATAGTATTTGTATTGTGGTCATTATACTGGATATTCCAGCTCTATTAACTTTGCCTTACTGTAAAATCTGCAAAAGAGTAAACTGCTATTTCTGTTTTAATGATGCTGTTTTAGTCTAATATTACAAGAAAGGTAATGACAGAATTCAAACTATAACAAAGTACCCCTTGACTTTCTACACTTTAATTTACACCAGTCTAGTCAACTAGATATCATTAAATCTTTTCTTTAAAAATGTATCCCAGATATACACAAAAGCAAATATTACCAGTATTCTTTTATAGTATTATATGCAGAAACATTTGAAATAGAACAAAAAGAAAACTTTTACAGTAACATCTAAACACTTGATCTTAGCCAAAGGCCGAGAAGCCATTATAGTAACACTTAGGATTAGACTAAAATAAAAGAGTACTAGCAAATAATGTAAGCAGAGAGCAGTGATGCTTATCGCAGACACATTTAATGATGTGACCTATGGATTTTCCTAGTTTCCGATTTTACTTAGTCATTAGTTTTGTGCCTAAGTTGACTAGGTTAGATGATCTTCTATCACCTTGGCAGGTGTGAATACCACGAAGGCTGGTTAGCACTGCAAGCACACAGAGCCCCCTGCCCACACTTGGGTCATAGCTCATGTTCAACAAATCCAGTGTTCATGGGTGTTGCTTATATATTATTATCTATACTGTTTGCTAGAGATAATTTCTGAAATATCTCACAACAAAAGTTTACAGCACAGAACAAGGTATTAGCATCACTACTCAATGTTATAACATAGGTTATCTCAGGAAAGGTGGATTTAAAACAATTGTCCATCTCTTTGTAGTTTGCTTTATTACTTGATTCATTGTTGTTGTTGGTTTTTTACTGGGTAAAATACAAATAAAACAAAAATTACCATTTTAACCATTTTTAAGTTTACAGTTCAGTGGCGTTAAGTACATCCACAATGTGTGACCATCACCACTAACTGCCGAACTGTTTTCCACAGCAGCTCAGCCACTTTACATTCCCATCAGTAAAGTACCAAGGTTCCAATTTCTCTACATCCTCACCAGCACTTGTAATTTTCCATTTAAAAAAAAATAACAGCGGGCTGGGCGCGGTAGCTCACGCCTGTAATCCCAGCACTTTGGGAGGCCGAGGCGGGCGGGTCACGAGGTCAGGAGATGGAGACCATCCTGGCTAACACAGTGAAACCCCGTCTCTACTAAAAATACGAAAATAATTAGCCGGGCATGGTGGCGGGCGCCTGCAGTCCCAGCTACTCGAGAGGCTAAGGCAGGAGAATGGCATGAACCCAGGAGGTGGAGCTTGCAGTAAGCCGAGATCGTCCCACTGCACACCAGCCTGGGTGACAGAGCTAGGCTCCATCTCAAATAAATAAATAAATAAATAAATAAATAACAGCCATCCGAATGTGGATGAGGTAGTGTCTCACTGTGATTTTGATTTGCATTTCCATGGCACTGATAATGCTGAGCATCTTATCTGCTCATTGGCCATTTGTACATCTTCTTTGAAGAAATGTCAGGCCAAGCCCTGTGACCATTTTTGAATTGGGCACAGGGTTTGGCCTGACATTGTGTTGTCATTATCATCGAGCATTACATGTTTTCATTTTTTGTTTTTTGGTTTTTTGGTTTTTTTGAATCATAGCTTTGCTCTGTTGCCTAGGCTGTAGTGCAGTGGTGCAGTCATGGCTCACTGCAGCCTCAACCTCTCAGGTTCAAGCAGTCCTCCCACTTAGCCTTACAAATAACTGAGTGCACCGTACCTGGCTAATTTTTTTTATTTTTTGTAGAGATGGAGGTCTCACTATGTTGCCCAGGTTGGTCTCAAACTCCTGGGCTCAAGAGAACCTCCCATCTTAGCCTCCCACAGAGCTGGAATTACAGGCATGAGCCACTGTGCCTGACCTTACTTCATATTTTTAATAACAAATATGCACTATTATAATTAAAATAAGTCAATACTCTAAAAAAGAAAATCTAAATTTGTTAACATATATTTAAAGTTTCATAATAAATGCATGAATGAGGTAAAAAGAAAAAGTATGCTTAGAATAGCTTTAAAGAATCACAATTAAGTTTCATGTTATTTTTTCCTGATTATTCTGGGCTTTTTATTTTGTTTTTGGGGAGATATATATATATATATATTTGCCCACTTGATATGTTTATGTAAAGGCAGTGGTTTCTCATCTTTTGAAATTTTTCATATTGAATTATATTTTGAATTAAATCTAAAGAACTGTGAACACATATTAAGGATTTAAGAATGAATTAATTTACCTGGCATTCTAATACTTAAAATTATAAGTGTTTGTTATAGTATTTAATCTACCACAAATCTCCCAATTTTAAAAAATTTTAGTTTATAATTAGGAAGTAAAATTAGAAGTAAAATATTTTGCCCTCTCAAAAAGGTATTAACTATTCCATATACCCAAGGGAGTATTTGTTTTTTCTTTTGAGATGGAGTCTCACTTACTCTGTCACCCAGGCTGGTACCATCTTGGCCCACTGCAATCTCTGCCTCCCAGGTTCCAGTGATTCTTCTGCCTCAGCCTTTTAAGTAGCTGAGATTACAGGGATGCACCACCATGCCCAGCCAATTTTTGTATTTTTAGTACAGACGGGGCTTCCCCATGTTGGCCAAGCTGGTCTCAAAACTCCTGAGCTCAAGTGATTTACCCACCTTGGCCTCCCAAAGTGCTGGGATTATAGGCCTGAACCCCCACACCTGGCTGGAATTCTCTTTATTATATATTTTCTCCATGTTTATATTGCACCTGGCTCATTAAATATTAATATAAGGCCAATAAAATGACTCATAATTCTCTTCCTTCTATTTCTATATCCAATGTCAAAGTTAGGCTTATATGTGAAATGTTTCTGCTCTAATATAATTTTCCTATATTGTTTAGTTTAGACAGTAGCACAGAGAATTCTGAAAAATTTTTAAATCTACAAATTTATATAAATAAAAGCTAAAGTGTCCATTTGAAATATCTGTTGGAATAACCTTATTCAATAAATGACCTTCAATAAGGTCATTTTTATTGGAGAAGAAAATAAATTCTCAAAAATAGTACCCCAAATTTCTAGTCCTTAAATTGCCTCTTAGTGTTTCATAATTATCAGTCCCCATGTGCTTCTCTTCCTCTAAAGAGACATGTTTTTACCTCTTACACATATTAAACATGGAGACTTTGTTATTCTAACTACAAGTTCCTCTTAAAAATACAGATAAATATTCAAGGAAACTGCAAAAAAAATGGTGACAATGGAAGGAAGGGAAGGAAGGAAGGAAGGAAGGAAGGAAGGAAGGAAGGAAGGAAGGAGAAGGAAGAAGGAAGGAAGGAAGGAAGGAAGGAAGGAAGGAAGGAATGGGGGCTGAAGGAAGTGAAGGAAGGAAGAAAGAAATTTTTCTTACCTGTCTGTCCATTAGGTAGCCAGAAATCCATGGTGAGTGAATGCATGGAAATTTACAGTTCACAAATTAAAGTAGTCTGAATAGTTGCCACAATATCTGATAAACAAGGCCTCTAGTAAGGAGCAAATGACATCACTGGGGTTCAGCTGAAGGACTCAACATATACTATGTAATATTATATTCAATACTAAAAATAACAATTCACATATTAAACTCAATTATCTATAAAAACAATTGTCTGCTCTATGAAAACTGATGAAAGTATGTGAAAATATTTTTGAAATTTAACTTAAAGATAAATCTTTACAATGCTCCTATACATATAATTTATAGCTTTGAGTTCTTGTCTATTTTTCTTATTCTAGTGCTATACTGAAAACACTACTTTTGTTTTTGTTTTGTTTTGCTTTGTTTTGTTTTGTTTTGTTTGAGACATGGTTTTGCCATGTTGCCCTGGCTGGTCTTGAACTCCTGGACTCCCAAAGTATTGGGATTACAGGTGTGAGCCACCATACCTGGCCTGAAAACACTGCTTTTAATTCCCACATTGCAATCCAGTTATGAAAAAAACAAAAACAAGAAGCCACTCAAAAACAAACAAACAAAGAGCCACACTGATCCTGTCCACAGTCATTCATTCAAAAAAGATATCAGGGCTAACCATGCAGCAAGCAATAGGAATAATATATGACTTAAGGTTTCTTGACACCTACTGTCAAGAAACTAATAGTCTAGTGAAGGAGATTATAAAATACCCTCAAAACAATCACAACTTTTTCATTTAATTTGTTATAACACAATGCAGGCCAAATTATTTTATTTTGCATGCCAGTGACATATAGAAATCATCAGGAAGAAAATGTCAAGTTTTTCCAATGACAAAAAACACCTCATTCATTCTTATATTTCAAGCGTATAATTTATATACATATTACCTCAGTCTGCTGTTTTACAAAGACATTTAACATTGCAACTTTGTTCCTTTAAAAACAAGTATTGCCCCCAACAAGTTTACCTATGTAACAAATCTGCACATGTACCCCTGAACTCAAAATAAAAGTTAAATGAAAAATAAAACAAACAGTATCTGCAAACTGGGCCTTCAGTCCACTTATGTCATAGTAAAGTTATCTTGTTGCCCTGGTTATCTCTAACCTGCTTTGTTAATTTTTTTATCGTGGCAAAATATACATAACAAAAATTATCAATTAAACCATTTTAAAGTGTACAATTAAGTGGCATTGAGTACATTTACAGTGTTGTGCAACCACCACCACTATCCATGTCCAGAACTTTTTCATTATCCCTAACAGAAACTCCATACCCAGCTGGGTGCTGTGGCTCATACCTTTAATCCCAGCACTTTGGGAGGCTGAGGCAGGAGAATCACTTGAACCGGGGAGGTGGAGGTTGCAGTGGGCAGAGACGGTGCCACTGCACTCCAACATGGGTGACAGAGTGAATGAGACTCCATTTCAAAAAAAATCAATCATAAAGTTATAAAATATGTTAGATATTTGTTACTATAAATTTTACAAAGCTTTAAAAATTCAAATTCCAATAATATGCTTCATTTTAATCTAAAGCTACATTCTATGCAACCACTTACTATGAAACTGCTACTACAGTTCATTCAAGTTTTACAACAAGTGATTTTTGCACAAAATTAACCAATTACACAGTAAAGGATTCACCTTTCACTGTCAATATTACCATCTGACTCAGGCATTCTTTCTGGGGTCCAATAAGAAAGAATATAATAGAAACTTCATGCTTTACAAACAGAAGGAAGCTTACATGACTGCCCATGTTGAGAGACAACAGAGTAAGGTGGTTAAAAGCATTAATCTAGAGGAAAACTAATTAGGTTCAAATCTGGACTCTGCCACTTCTTAGCTGAGGGACCTTGGCAAGACTACTTAACATCTCTGTGCCTCAGTTCCCTCAAATTCTAGGACTACTCACACAGTTATTGTAAGAATTAGATAAAATTTCTAGGCCGGGCGCGGTGGCTCAAGCCTGTAATCCTAGCACTTTGGGAGGCCGAGAGGGGTGGATCACGAGGTCAGGAGATCGAGACCATCCTGGCTAACACGGTGAAACCCCATCTCTACTTAAAAAATACAAAAAACTAGCTGGGCGAGGTGGTGGGCGCCTGTAGTCCCAGCTACTCTGGAGGCTGAGGCAGGAGAATGGTGTGAACCCGGGAGGCGGAGCTTGCAGTGAGCTGAGATCCGGCCACTGCACTCCAGCCTGGGCAACAGAGCAAGACTCCATCTCAAAAAAAAAAAAAAAAATTTGTAAGGTGCTAGGAAGATTAGAACAAAATAAACACCATCAAGTGCTTGATAAATAAAAATGCTAAAGAAATCAGTTCCCTAAATTTACTATATTTTCATCAACATAATTTTATTATTAGTGAGTGAATGACTCATTAATTAATACCATCCATTGTAATGAAGAACTATTAAAAGTTCAATGGCCCCTGGGGAATTCTTGAATTGGTTGATTTGGTTTCTTCCAGCCTTTATTGATTATATACCTCTGGCCATTGTTCCTGCATTTGATTAAGAAATCACAGATTTTGGTATCGCATATCTATTTGCCTTGTTTTCTTGAAATACTTCTTCAGACATAAAGTCAATTGTGATTTAGGGTGTTATCCCTTATAATACACAAAAAGTCCTGTAACTTATTTAAAGTGTCAGAATGAATCACAAAAAGTATGGCCTTTTTACATAGAATTCAACGGTAATAGTAAATAATTTAAGAAATAATTCCCCATGGGAAAGCAACACAGGGGAAATGACACTGAAGATGAGATCTGAAGGCTCTCAGGCAGACTTTACCTCCCTGCTGAAAAACTTGGAGGGGATGGAGAGAGAAAGGATCGAAGAGTATTGCACCCAGAAGGAACTATATAAACAAAGAGCAAAAACAGTTTGATATGTTGACAAAACTGAGAATGCAGTGTGACTATAGTGCAAGAAGGGAGACAGGAAGCTGGAGAAAGAAGGCTAAAAGATAAATTGAGACAAAAGTCCTGAAGTATCCAGTAAACTATTTTAAGTATTTTGAACTTTATCTGAACATTGATGTCAGTGCAGTAACAGGATCAAAATCACAGTTTGTAAAGAAGGATCACTCTGATTACAGTGGGGAAAAAGGATGACAAGGGACAAGATGAGAGGCAGGGAAGACCACTTAGGAAACTATCATAGCTACCGAGCCAGATATGAAGATAGCCTGGAGAATGGTAATGGCAAAAGGAAAGGTGAAAGTGAAAGCTCTAAGGAGATATTCAGAAGACAAACTGATTATTGGAAAGGAATCAGTGGTATTTCCAAGTTTCTGGCTTGGTCAAAGGATGTATGGTTGTTGCCCACTGTTGAAGAAGCCTCAATAAATTCACCGTGGCTTGAAACATAAAATGGGAGGAGTGAGGCAGCTAGGAAGTTTACTTGGGGTCAGATCAAATTTGGCTGTAGGCCAAACTAAGATTTTCTGATTTTAAGGGGAATGGAAAGTCACTGGGGAGCTTTACTGTTTGCCCCACTTACTCTCAGGGAAATTAATAAAAATGAAAACTTTGAATAATTCCAGGTCCACCATGTATAGCTGTGCAGGATGTGCACTGCACAAATCCAAGGAACACCATTCACATAGATTGATATAAATGGCACCCCTGAAGTTGTGCAAAGCACAGCACAGCAGCCATCCTTGACACAGCATGTTATATGGTTCTCCAGTTTGTGTGAATAAATGTCTTATATCCCAAGTAAAATAATAAACCTCTCTAGGCCAGAGCTTATGTTTTAAACTTCTTTTCTATTCTTCAAGTGACCTAGCATAGGTAATTTGTAATTTGTTCTCAATATACAGCTAGCCCAACACTTGTGGTAATGGACCTAGAAACCATCATCCACTTTGATTTTACTACTACAACCATTACATATTCTCCTGTTACAGTGTAAGTTTAATTATACTTACCAACCTTACTCTAATACATTTTTAAATATTTCTATAACAAATTATGATATTTATATGACAATTTTTACTGAACCAAGTTTCACAACACTGATGAATTGTATAACATGATCTCATTTCCTTCACTGGTCATTTTTTACTTAAAATTATTTGTGTTCCTCCCCTGCCTGTTTTTAGAATAAGAATTTTCAGGCCTTGATTTGGTTTTTTTCAGCCTTTATTGATTATCTACCTCTGGCCATTGTTCCTGCATTTGATTAAGAAATCACAGATTTTGGTATCACATATCTATTTGCCTTGTTTTCTTGAAATACTTCTTCAGACATAAAGTCAATTGTGATTTAGGGCATTATCCCTTATAACACACAAAAAGTCCTATAATTTATTTAAAGTGTCAGAATGAATCACAAAAAGTATGGTCTTTTTACATAGAATTCAATTGTAATAGTAAATAATTCAAGAAACTATTATGAGCAAGAATAATCTATTTTCTCCTTTGAAATTTATTCTCATTAGCTATAGTATCTTCCAAGTTTTGTTTGGTGATTCAGTGTTGATTCAGTTGTTTGTGAGGAAAGGACTACCATACCTGATATATCATTTTGAGTGGGAAAGGCTGAGAGGAATATGGGATAGGGACCAGCACATCATAAATTCATTCACTTATTTAGCAAACACTTATATAGCATTTCCCATGTGCCAGGTACCTCTCTAAGAAATTTACAAATAGTAACCCATGTAACCCTCATTACAATCCAGTGAGGTAGATGCTCTTCATGGCTCGAGTCTATGCTCTCCCGTTTCTCCTCCCTGCTGTCTATTACAGCCCATTTGCCAAGAAAAACTGGCCTATGAGCCAGGTTTGGAATGTATACCAAAGGGTATAGTCTGTTGAATTCATATTATTTCTACCATTAGCATTAATCATAACTGTCTTCCATTGGTACTGTATGAAACCAAAATTTAATTCATTTTTTCAGTGCAACTGTCTGACTCTTTTCTTTTTTTTTCGAGATGGAGTCTTACTCTGTCACCCAGGCTGGAGTGCAGTGGCACGATCTCAACTCACTGCAACCTCCGCCTCCCAGGTGTCTCAGCCTCCCGAGTAGCTAGGATTATACGCGCCAACCACATCTGGCTAATTTTTGTATTTTTAGTAGAGATGGGGTTTTACCACGTTGGCCAGGCTGGTCTCGAACTCCTAACCTCAGGTGATCCACTCACCTTGGCCTCCCAAAATGCTGAGATTACAGGCGTGAGCCACCACACCTGGCCAGCTGTCTCTTGATTAGGTCCCAGCCATCACTGTCTGTCTGTGAGATTCTCAACTGAGTGAGATTTAGAACATGAAAGCTATGCAAAGTTGGATTTGCATTATACTCTAGATAAAATGACTGGAACTT